GACCAATTTGACCAATACTAAACCCTTTGACCAACTGGTCAAATTGGTCAAACTGGTCTGGTCAAGCTTGACCATTGCCAACCCTGAATATATTATATATACAGTATTTAGGCGGCATCCATAATTTACGTTAAACTAGTACTGTATTGTATAGAAATAGATAATACCATCCGGTATTATTTTTGTATTATCTTTAAGATTTCCATAACAATACCGGTTTAACGTAAATTATGGACGCCGCCTTATAAAAAATACTGTATTTTGTATTGTTATACTTATTTATTATAAAAGAGAATAACTATATTATTTTAATTATAAAATTTAATTAAATTTCTTAACTTATACAGTATAAGTTATATTAAATTATCTATTTGATATTTAATATAAACTGCTGAACTGTGAGGGACCAACATGAGGTTGGTTTCAACGTGAGGTCAATTATTATTTAAAGTCCGCCAATGATTAGTAATCATAAAAAAATACCAATTGACCTCACAACCTCATGTTGGTCCCTCACAATTTTTTTTTTTATTCTAACAATATCAGTTCTTTTGCACAATTTTTGTTTCTCTGCCCATGTATAATACTGCGTGATTTAAGCGTTGTATTATAAATGCTGTGGCATTACATCATTAAATATCAGTATGCAGAGTTTCAGATAATGCGAAATCATATTAATTTTTGTTTATTATTTAAATAACCTTTATTAATTTTTATTAATTCTGAGATTGCTGACATTCTTCGTTTTAAGAGGTTCTGATATAATTAGGGTCGGTAAGGGATAATATAATTCTACCCTGAATTATGTTGAAGAGAAACTTGTAAAGAATTGTAAAAAGAATAGAACGATTTTCTGTGTTAACAGAAAACCAGGAAAAGTGTCATAAGTAATGCGGATTCGATTTTCACGATATATACCGCAATTAAATATCACACGACTTTGGCTGAATTCCGAATTCGTATCAAAAAAAAAAATACATACCAGATACGTACTGTACGTAGCCGACGTACGTTGCCGAGTAAGCATAGTACATGCTTCATGGTAAAAGACATAATTGTAGAGCATGTTTTTTTTAATGAACACTTAGCTCCCACTCATAAAAATGGTAAACCTGTACAAATTATCTCCTATGTAATATCAGAAGGGGTGGTTTTCGTTAGGCCGAAATTCTACAATGATTAGTGCCTGACACCGAATATTAGATGTAAATATGGTGTTTGTGGAGAGATAGTCTTGAATGAGATGAAAATGTATTTAAGTCAAGCCTTTTTAACCCTCAATAAAAGTTTACAAGATTCGACTTGTCCGTCATAGTTGTCCCTTGTACGCACGTACATATTATTTTACAGGGGCTTCATAGACGTAAATCGATCTAAATAATAACAGATAAAGTGGCTGAATCATCGGCCTTTTTTTTTCAACCCGATTTGTAAAATTTCGCCGTAAAAACTTTTTTTCAATTCTGACCTTATCATAATATTTCAAAACTTTGACACATTCCAATCGAAAGTGTTAATTATACAAAATTGACTTTTAGAATTGCATACGTTTAGTTTTACATTTTTTATTTTACTATTAAATCTTATAATAATAATTTAAATTCAAAATCCGGTCTTTCAACGGTTCCCTTCTTAGTTATTCCACTCATATTAGATTTTGGTTCGACCACTATACCCTTGTTACTTTGTTGAAGTTAGCCAAACACCCTACGTATCTCCTGAAATCGATAACGATAATAACAGAACCATAGCTTCGGAACGTGATGCTAAAATGTGATCCAAAGCTACGACGAAAGCGAAGTCGAACAGAATAAAATTCCAACTTATCAAGCCTCTCACATCACACGGAAAAGCTATCCCATTATATATATGAATTGTTAGTAAAAACGTAAATTTTTTTCTAATAAATCTTTTTAACTAATATAACAAGAATAAATGAATTATATGAATTCTACAAATTTGTAAAATTCATAAAAAAAATAAAAATAAAAATAAATAAATAAATAAATAAAATAAACATTCAATTTGTTTATGTTCTTGTTATCTTTGTTCAAAAGTTTTATAAAAAAAATTTGGCGCGTTTTTTACTGACTCACCCATATATAAGCGACAAGGATAGGGAGTATAGTTATTTTGATTGGTTAGCTACTATATGTGCATTTTTATTGGTTAACGTTATACTCATCCCAGTGCGAATGATTCTTCCAGTGGAATTTTTCATTGGAACCACTGGGAATATTGGAAAGATATGGAAGTCCAGCTTCCAGTCGACAATACTGCTACTATGACAAATAACGGACAAAGAGTTGGTGATTCTTTCTATCCTAATTATTCTCCACAGCATCCATATCAACAGCTTCGACACCCTGCTGCTGATGTGTCTCGCAATCAAGCATCTATGAGTGTACCTTCACTGGGTACTTTCTCTTTTGAAAGTGATTTATCCACATCACAGCAATTTCCACAATATTCACAACGTCCTGAATATCCACAACAATCGCAACACCTACAATATTCAAGTCGTCCTCACAATGGCCCAACACCAAGGATCTCTGTTCATCCAGTTCAGCCACATGAAGGGCGTCCATCAACGTCGACACCGCGAGCAGTTATTGTACCCGGTCCTGGTCGGCGACCTCAACAGCCTTCTTCTCAATATTTTCCTAATATGCCACAACATCCTTCCGTTTCGCAAAGATCAAGACTAATTATTGGTATGTTCATTGTTCTATAATTACTATTCCTTTCCACGCATTTAAAATTATTATACACATACTTTATCATATCGTTTTCATCATTTCTGAGGTTTAATATAATTATCACGAATACACAGATAAATTCACAAATATTATCGATGACCTTTTCAATAGGTACTAGCACTGCTGCTTCAAATCTTAATCCAAACCATTCCGATGACTATATTCCCCCTCTTCGAAAATCAATGGAAAACCTTCGTAATAAAACACCCTTAAATTATCATTCATCTTATCAATCAGAGCGATTTCGTTCATTGTCATACTCTGAACCATCTCCACCATCTGCTGGTTCAGATGCATCAAGTGCTCCTTCATCACCCTCTTCCTATACAGGAAAACAGCATATTCCAATTGTTTACCCCGCTTTACTTTCAAAGGTTGCTGATGCATTTCGGTCCAGGATTATTCTTTCAAATAGGATGAAAGACAACCTCGAATATAAAGATTGCTTTGATGGGAGAGAAGCTGTGGTATGACTTAGTTGTTATTTGGTCTATTGTGTTACTAACATCTGAATTAGACTATAGCTTTTGCAACTTTAATAACAAGAATATATATATTTATTTATTTAATTTTTAATTATGTCATAAAGGATAAGATCGCATATATAATCAAAACCACTGATAGGAATTTGGCATTATTACTTGGTCGGGCTTTAGACTCTCAAAAATTTTTTCATGATGTGACATATGAGCATAGACTTCGCGATTCAGCAAATGAATTGTATCTATTCAGAAAAATGCCGTCAATATTATCCTCCGACAATTATGACCATGTCGAATATGAAAAGGAAGATAGTACTGAAGATGATGCTGAAGAAAATGATTTACCAAATGGCGTCTTTACTTTGTTGACCGATTGTTATTCTCCTACATGTACCAGAGATAATTTATGTTATAGCATTATTTGTCCAAGGAGGTTGGAACAAGTAGGTATATTATAATTTCGTTCTCTTTTAATGGAGAATTAGACGTGATTTACAGTATAATTTTTTTTTTTTTCTAACGTACAAATATAGTCTGTACGGAAGAACATGAAGCCAACCCCTGGTCTTAGACGTAGTTCTAGCCGTGGTTCTCTTTCAGATAAAAAGGTGGCTATGCTTATTCATTCCTGTTTTATTATTTATTTTGTCTTTAAAATATTAAATAAATTACTTTGAACAGGATCGAAAATTATGGATTCATACTGTTCTTCCTGAAATTGCTAACTCAGTTTCTGAAACAGAGAAAAAACGACAAGAAGCTATAAATGAAGTTATTTATACTGAGAACGATTTTGTACATGATTTAGAATACCTGAAAAATGTATGCTAAGATATATATATATATTTGATATATTTCGTTATTTTGTTTCTATTATTAATTCTACTATAATAAATTATTAGTGTTGGATGGATCCTCTCTTAAAGGAAGATATTATTCCTGAAGATCGACGTGAAGAATTTGTCAATAATGTTTTTTATAATATGTTAGAAATTTACAAAGTTAATTCTAAACTGAACGATGCACTTCAAAAACGACAGAATGCTTATGCCATTGTTGAGCAAATTGGTGACATTTTTATAGAGCAAGTCCCAAAGTTTGATCCTTTTATTCAGTATGGTGCACATCAATTATTGGGAAAATATGAATTTGAAAGAGAAAAAAGCAGCAACCCGGAATTTGCAAAATTTGTTGAAGTAATATCATGAATTCATAATTTGTGTTTATTTATTATTTCTCCCCTTTTAATGATTGAAAATAATCAATATATTTTATTATAGAAAATTGAACGTCTTCCTGAATCAAGAAAATTAGAACTAAATGGGTATCTTACAAAGCCTACAACCCGTCTTGGAAGATATCCATTACTCCTTGAGGTTGTTCTAAAACATACTCCTAATGATCATCCTGATAAGGTTAATATACCAAAGGTAATCAAAATCATCAAAGAATTTTTAACGAATGTTAATATAGAATCTGGGAAATCGGAAAATCGATTCAATTTACAACAATTAAACGACCAACTGATGTCTAGAGGGAATGTGGTATGTAATTTCAATGTCTTAATTTAGAACTCTGTATATTCCACCTATTAAATTATTAAATATTATTGCTAATTAACTAATAATTTCAGGATCTGAAATTGACTGAAGAAGGACGTCAGCTCGTTTTCAAAGGTACTTTAAAGAAGCCTACTCGAGCTGGTGAACCGTCCGATCTACAAGTGTTTCTGTTCGATCATGCTTTGTTAATGGTGAAAAATAAAATCGTAAATAAGGCTGAACATTATAAAGTTTATAGAAAGGTATATGTTATTTTTTATATTTAACAAAAATTAATTTACCTAGTTTTTTTACTTAACAAAATATCATTAACTCATTTCATAGCCAATTCCTCTTGAATTGTTGAGCATCTCAATAACTGAAGGACCTTCAGAAAACATCCGTTCGATTCAGAAACGGCCACAGTCAATATTACATGGCGGAAAGGCTCAAACATCTAATCATAAAAATAACAATAATCAACATGCATTAACACTATGTTGTCTCGGAAAGAAAGGCTTTGCGGTAACTTTATATGCAACAACGATTATCGGTCGCAAAAAGTGGATCGAACAAATAGAAAAACAAAAAGAACTAAATGAGAAAGGGAAGATATTTGAGAAAACTGTATTAATTGAAAAAGGACATTTTCACGATACGCATAAGATTATTTGTGCCGTATTTTTTGGTAAAATTATTTATATCGTTATTTATTTTTCCTCAAAAGCTTTTCAATAATAATTTATAATATTTATATTAATTAATCCTTTAGATAATTATCAAAAATTAGCCTTTGGAACTGATAGTGGTGTATATGTACTGGATATTAATCAAAAGCATGTAGTTCAAGCATTGAAGATAGAAAAAGTATCTCAAATTGAAATTCTTGAGGATTATCGATTATTATTTATATTAGCTGGTAAGTGTTTATAAAATTCCATTAGTTTTACTGACAAAAGTATGAGAAAATAAAATCTTTTTCACTATATATACCTTGCTCAAATAATATTAATTTTTAAGACAAAAGTCTCTATTCATACCCAATCGACGTATTGGACCCTGGTGATACTAATTCAGCCAGCAAACGTTCAAAAAAAATCAGCGCACATGCAAGTTTTTTTAAGTCCGGAACTTGTCGTGGAAAAACTTTAATAACAGTTGTAAAAAATAGTACGCTTCAATCGACGATTAAGACTCTAGAACCTCTTGAACAAAACGTCAAACATAAGATTAAAGGACCAACTTTTAAACTCTTGCGTGGAAGTAGCGATGTGTTAAAAACATATAAGGTAGCATTGAGATATTGATAGGCCTTAATAGAAATTTTAGGTCAAGCTTTAACTGATATATTTGCCATACATTCATTATTAATTTATTTGTCCTCAGGAGTTCTGTATACCTGCAGAATTAACGTCAGTCCATTATCTCAAAAAGAATTTATGCGTAGGTTGCACGAAAGGATTCGAAGTTGTTGATTTGGAGACTCTTAAAACGCAAGGATTACTGCATCCAGAAGATACATCACATGAGTTTGTACTTAAAAGAGAAAATGTAAAGCCTATTGCTATTTATCGTGTTGGGGGTAGCGATTTTCTTTTATGTTATGACGGTGAGTTTTTATCGATTTTTACATTTTAAAATCACGAATCTTAAAATTCAATAATATAAATTGTATAATTTGTCCTTTAGAATTTGCATTCTTTATTAATAAAGAAGGATGGAGATCACGGGACAAGATGTTAATAACGTGGGAGGGATCCCCAACCTCTTTTGGTATTTTTATTTAATTGTTATTGTTTATCAATTTTAATAATTCTGTTTGTACCTTAGTTTATTTATTATTTATATATTTTTTTTGCAGCCTACCACTATCCTTATGTTCTTGCATTTGAACCTTCGTTCATCGAAATACGTCACGTTGAAACAGGGCTTTTAGAACAAATTATTGCTGGACATAATGTACGTTACCTATACTCTGATTCTCGTGGAAACATCTTGGTCGCAACGAACGATACTACCACGGGTAATTCGGAAGTATTCGCTATGAAGATTCCGAATGAAAGGAGAAATTCATTAATTTCGGAGGCTCCGAGTATTGCTACTCTAGCTTTCCCATCTGAAGATAGGAACGAGAGTTAATAAAACATAATTTATTTGAAGAGCTTTTTGTAGCATAGTCGTTGTATAACAGATACGCTCAAAGTTATGTGAATATTTTAGAATTTAGTGCATACAAATTCTTTGATATCATAATCGATCATCATCATTTACATTATATTCATTTGTATTTCATTTAATTTTGGCATAGTACTGATTTATTGATGAGGTGGTTAGAACTGTTTTGATATTACCATAATGTTTTTTTTCAATTATATATTTTTATATATAGTTTTATTCATTGATTTATACATTTTTGTCTGATTTGTTTACAATATAGATGTGTTATATAAAGTATATATTTATATATTTGTGAAAGAACTCATGATTGATTTTTTATTTCTTTATAAAAATTATGAAAAAAAAAGTAAGAATTACCTCTATGACTTTAGAACATAACGATAAATAGTAAAGTTTTTTATTAACTGTAAAAAATATAATAATAATAATAATAATAATAATAATAATAATAATAAATGCGTGTCACTCTAAATACGCGTTCGTATTCTTTTTACGTATTCTTAGCACTAATAGTAATTGCCTTTAAAAATATCTCTAATACTGTAAATCAAAATAAGCTGCATATAGTATTCCCTAAAATAGTATTCTAACAAATTAAAGCCTCATTGTTGAAATATCATTAGATTTGTGTCCAAAATAAACATAATCTCAAAGTACGGGCTTTATCCTTTCCCACGTATTCCAAGCACAAATTAAGTTAGCTAGGTTTCTTGATTTGTCCTCTAGGTAACGAATGCAACGTTCTACGATATACAAGATTAACGTTCTACGATATACAAAATTAGCATTCAAAACATGTTAATTCCAGCTACGTTACGTACAGTACGTACGTACCATGTATTTCCAATACAGCAGCATTGACCAGGTTTGTTTAATCGTAAATATGTCAATCTTTTTATTTATTTATATTTTACATAATACTGTATATAATATAAATATATATACAGTCAGACCTCTCTAACAGCATCTCCAAATGCACGCTCAAGTGCCGGCCAAAATATATACTTGACCTTTATAAATTTATAAATGCACTTTTTTCTTATTAGTCTGGCGTGCACTTAGAGAGGCCTTACTGTATCAAGGTTGTAATTATATCAAGAGTGACTATAACGAGATCTGACTATATATTCTAAACTTTATCGATATATTTAACAAAAAGTACAGTATAATTTATATTTGCAAACTAAATTTATTTTATAAATGTATACAGTAGTGTAAATATATACAGTACAGCATTTATGACAGATTCATCTATGGTAAATGAATATGACTGACTAGAAAATATTGCAAGAAACCCACTACCATTAAATAGAACTTAAATAATTAAAATATTATTTTTATTCACAAACTTCATATACATACCATGTAAAAACATAATAAAAAAACAAAATCATCATTAAAACTACAAAAACCAATTCAATTATCAACGCATTTTTTTGTTCATATTAAATAAAAAAAAGAAAAAAAATTAATTAAAAATTAACACCTTTACAACTAATATCGATATAAATTAAATCAATTAAACTACAAACTACGTCATCATTAATAAACTGCGCACATTAATCATTAATCACGTTACTTACATATAATCACTTGTGTACAACACATTTGATATACGAGTGTCGCTATATTTAAATTGTCGGTTTTTCTTTTGACGACATTCATATATTTAATTATATATAATAAAGATTTTAAAACCCAAGTAAATTTATTGTAACTTTACAAATACCTTTAGCAAATTCAGAATGCATTCTATTGAATATTTAGATAATGTTTCATCATACTCAACATCATAATAAGGCGGTCTTCATTTCCCATAAATATTGTCTCCTAAACCTTCCTAGATATTGTCTTCTAAACCTTTCTAGATAATTTGTAGATATCGTAAGTGGGAACAGAATTCAGGGATTTTTAATATAATTATTCCATTCTGAATTCCGAACCTATTATGATTCCATTCCCACTTACAACATATATAATGATTTAAATATTGCTTTAAAACTTGACTTCATGCTAAAATTTTGCTGAACTAGAAATATTATAAAAAAATTGCTATATATTTGATCGGTTTAATTTTTTTTTTTTTTTATTATCAAAGCTACTACATTTTTAAATGCGAAATTTGCTTATCGGCCAATACAACCTTTCATTCTATATTAGTTTTACATTTGTTGAAGAATTTTGTTTTTTTTTTTGACATAATATTATACATTTAAATTATGCAATCGAAAATTAATGTATTAAACCATTTTCTAACAGGTTTAAATCAAACAATCATAATTTTTAAGATCGTGTTTTACTTGAACTATTCTTTATCATTAACCACGTTGCTGAAAACATTACCGAATCTTCCAATTTCTTGGACGCTATTCAACCCATTATGTATTAAAGGAATCCATTGTATTCGATCGTCCTTATGCTGTTTTCTCGATCAAATGTTCGACACAAAACTGGCGACGTATTATATACTTATTTCTCGATTGATATCCATCTATTAATTAGATCAATACGAAATAGAATAAATTAAATAAGGAACGAATAAGCAACTTCAATTATTGATTAATGAGTTTAACCGAAATTTTGACAATGTATTTTCTTCTGTTCAATCGTTGATAAGATGCGTCTACTTTGAATATCAACCCTTTTTTTTACTAAGAAACCCCATTTATATTAATATAAACGTATAATCCTATACAGATAACAGTAATATAAAAATTATTTTAAAATATAATGCTTATCTTTAAAAAATTAAAATAAAAAATAAAATAAAATAAAAAATTCAAAAATAAAATAAAAAATAAAATAAAATAAAAATTATATAGTTTATCATTATAATATCTATTACGTATTGTAGTTATATAAATAATATATTATCGTAAACTGGTTTTAAAGAGCCGCAATAGAATGCTAAAACAAATCCAGTGCGGTTGGGGGAGACAATAAGCATGAGTATGAGTACTTATTTATCTCCGCCAACCACGGTGAACCAAAAGTTTTTGGTTCCCCTCCTGTCGAAATGTATAACACTCTCGTCGAGCTCAGCCTTAGGGAAATACACAACCTTTCCTTCTATTGGAAACAGTTGACCTTAGGCAGGGAAATTCAAAAAGGATGTCTTCTGCTTAGGGAAGATACATAACCTTTCCTCGTAACGGAAAAGTAGACCTTCGGCAGGGAAATTCAAAAAAGCTTAAAGAAATGTTAAAAGTTTGTTCTGCTAAGAGTTAGAGAATAATAATGATAATACATTTAACGCGTTATTGTTTATATAGCATGGAAATCCGATAACCTCCGGGATCTACGTTACACAGGCATTTATATAGCGCAGGGAGGCTATGAATACAGAAAGTGTAACAGTTACGCAAAACATTCATTTTTGATACACCTGCACCTACTTTTTTGATACTGATCGACATGCAGATCCCAGTAAAAAATAA